TGTTACATGTTGTATTGTAAACTCCAGTGTTCCAGCCTTACGTAGGTCATCTTGCTCTAGTAGAGGCTGAAGTCGAGGCTATCGAAGTTGGCACGGGTGCTACTGGAACACCGAGTCGTCGTTCATGGGTGAAAACTATGAGCCAAAAAAAATCTTGTCAAATTCACCCGTGATCACTCAATTAATACATTTGAGTTGATTTGATTTGAGATATTCATCCGATTACCAATTTATAATAATAATAATAAATAAATAAATAAATAATTACAAAATTTGAATCGGATATATTGCTGGATGGGTCTAACCCGGAGTGCGGCGGGTCGGATCCCGATCAGGAGATTTCGACGATTGAAATTTGAAGGTTGATTAGCGTCACTTTGGCATTCAGCGGTTCAATTTCAAACCAAATTGAAAGAATCTTCCTTCTTGCAACGGTACCATGGAAGTTGAACCACAATCGGAGTTTCCGTACTGGAAGCCTTTCCAACGGAGGTTCGACCCTGATTCTCCCTTCTTCGCCTCTGGAAATGTCGAGCGCGAAATCTTAGCCAAACAGGTTTTTGTGGCTCTCTCCTGTATGCGTTTGTTTGTTGCTCATTTTATACTGTATTCATGAAATCAACTCTTGTCAAAGCATGATTATGAGTATGTTTGTTTGATTGATACTGTAGCTTGCTAGGTTTTGAGCTTTCTGTTTGTTGACTTGCGCGGTTTTCATTCTAATCCCTACTATTGACGCTCATGATATTCCGTTTCTTCTTGTTTTTCGTATAATTTTGAAGGTTGCCTTGGATTTAACCGAAGATGAAAAGTTCCAGCTTCATAATATGGTAGTTGATGTCGGCAGGTAAAGCTTTAGTTTGCTATCTGCTCATATATCATGACTTTAGATGTTAACAAGTCTCAAGAACTCTTTAGAAGTTCAAATTAATTGGATTGGTTACAAATTCCTAGAGGAAAATTCATAGCCAAGTTGGAACCAATGGTTTGTGTTGACTATTTCAGTATTTCTTTCTTTATTTTCAATGTATCATCAACAGTCCATTCTCGAGTTTCCAGTGTTTTATTATTGGAATTTGTCATTGTAATCTGTATAGGAAAATCTTTTGCCCAATAGTCGGTTGTGGTGCGCACTTGAAATCGCTGGATGACTTTGAAGATCACTACAATTCACGTCATACTGCCTCTTGTTCAGTTTGCCCAAGAGTATATCCAACATCACGACTGCTTAGTCTGCATGTGTCTGAGGCACACGACTCGTTCTTTCAAGCCAAAGTTGCTCGTGGCTATGACATGGTATATAACTCCGAACTTGTTATCCTATATATTTCTGTTCTGCATCTGTACTGATCTGTAGATACAGGGAATTACTTATGCTTCACATTGTCCTTTTTATCGAGTTGGGGCTTTGAGGTCTACGTTGAAGTTTCAATAGTTCATATATTGTTATTGCTCTGTATGTTTAGGACAACAGACTTGAGCATGAAGCTTTTGATCATTGTTAGTGGGGAGGGATCGGACTTTAGTTTTCTGGGGGACTGACCTACTAGTATAATTGTAAACTTGATTTCTTTTCCAAATTCTTGGTCGAGAAGAACACTGAAACAGAATAAGAGTAGCATTGTTGCAATAGAATGAAAGGATAAGTCATATAACCCCATCTCTTTTTTAGATTATATTATCATTTCACTTTAAATATGCTACTGATTGATGTAACTTGAAATATTTCACAGTATGAATGCCTGGTGGAAGGTTGTGGGTTGAAGTTCAAGAGCTACAAAAGCAGACAGCAGCATCTAGTGGACAAACATAAGTTTTCTGCTTCATTTGAATTCTTTAAGAAGGCTCCTCCTTCTAAGAAACAAAGACAGAAATTATATCGAAAACAAGTACTTCAACCAAGGGAAGAAACTTCCATAATGGAAGTCGAGAATGAAACTATGGATGGCCTCATTTTGGGAGTATCTAAACTAAGTACTTCGGACTCAACTCCATCATCAGTCAGCTTTGGTCGAAGGCACACTCGAGGGTTAACGTTTGTTCCTCGAGCAGTTCAGCGTGAAAAAGTTTCGGACTCCTCAACAGCAGGGTCAAACAAATAAGAGTTCTGCATCTAGACCAAGTAAGGGTAGTACCTATCAGTTCTAGCTCATCTGCTTCCCATTTTTGCTGTTTTTTCCTTAGTTCTTCTCAAGGGTATCTGGTGCTGCAACGTGGTTAGTTTTTTCTCATTTGATATATAGATCCTTACCCTCATCAATGGGATGATTCGTAGTTATTTTGTAGTTGGGATGTAATTTGAGATAATATGTGAAATGATGGGAAGATCTTGCATCTCAAGATAGCAGAATTAGTTTTTATTTGACTTGCAATTTACTATCTTAGTAAAAGAATCAAAATATATTGAAATTTGCCTATCCTAGTTATGAAGGAAATATTGTCGCTAGAAATGTTGAGTCTCGATTCTAATGAGATTAAAAGGATATTTCAATGCATTAATGTAAACGTAAGTTATTGCAAACAATATATTTGAATGGTTTAAGTGTGAATGCCTGCGTTAAACATATTAACTCTTTAACCTCTTTTGAATAATTGAGGTTTAACTGTTTAACCTCTTTTTGTTTAACTCTTTAACCTCTTTTGAATAATCGATGTTTAACTCTAAACCTCTTTTGAATAATTGATGAGTTCGTTTTAGTTGACTACAAATGAAACCATCAAAACTAAGTCAAAAGTTACCATCCATAGTTAGGATAAGTGAAAGTAGAAATGTCCATTTAATTCGGGGCCCAATTTCGAATGGGGTGAAATTATCCATTTAGACAGAGAGAGAGTGTGGGGTAGGGATTTTTATCCGATAGATAAATAGGGTCGGAGACGGAATTATATTTTTCGTCATGTAAATATAAATATATTTTCAAAGAGAGAATTTTTAAATTTTATTCATGTGATCATCCCCGAAAACTTTTCATGGCCTGCTTCGATCTCCACAAAAATAGAGGGAGGATTTCACAGAAATGAAGAATGAAATAGATGGTAGAGATGGGGATGAGTAAGGCTTCCCGTCCCCTCCCTGCTTCGTGGACATCCCTAAATGAAAGTATTCTTATTCTTTATAATTTCATTTTATATTATATGACTTTTCTAAATTACAAATCATCATTCGAAACCAGGAATGCAAATGATTTGTGATTAAAATGCAAGATGTGCCCTTGGCTTGGCTTGGCTTTGGAACATTAAATTTTAAGCTTGGCCATAGCGTCGTCGTTTCATTTTTGCCTCTGTCTTACAGTTTCTGTAGAATTGCGGCGGTTGTGATTCCAAGGATAAGGTTCGCATTCGCTCCCCGTCTTCAATCCTGTTTCGTCCCTTCCACTTGTTCATTCATTTTCTGCGCTTCAAAATTTGTTTCTGGTCACAGCGGAAATGCCTGTTACAGCCATGACCTTAAACCTAGTTGGTGCATTCAGAGGCCTCTCTCTGGTCTCTTCCTCTTCTTCTTCCTTCTTCAAGGGCGATTTCGGCTCCATTCAACCCCCTCCCAACCTCTCCGTCTCCTTTCCTAACAGATTCCCTTTAACCATAGAAAGTGCACACAAGAAAGGAGCTGGAAGCACCAAGAATGGCCGCGATTCTAAAGGCCAGAGGCTCGGCGTCAAAATCTTTGGTGATCAAGTCGCCAAGCCCGGTTCCATTATCGTCCGCCAGCGCGGAACCAAGGTAATTCCTCCATCCACGCATTTTTTTCACTTCAATTTTGAAGTGGATACCCGTTCCGCCCATGGTCTAGAGCATTTATGAGCATGGGAGGGGTTAAAACGCAGACGTACATCAATTGTTTGTAATTGAGTTCTGTTGTTGTACCATTCGTTTCAGTTCCATGCCGGAAAGAATGTGGGGCTTGGCAAGGACCATACAATTTTCTCATTGATTGATGGGCTTGTAAAATTTGAGAAGTATGGACCTGACAAGAAGAAGGTTTCACTTCGAACCTAGACTTTTCTTCAATATGTGGGTAGTGTAAATTACATTGCAGGAATGAAGTGTTATACTTATTTGATTGCAGGTGAGTGTGTACCCAAGAGAAGTGCAGCCTGAGAATCCCAACAGCTATAGAGCAAGGAAGAGGGAGTATTTCAGGCTGCAAAGAGAGCGCAAGAAAGCAAGGAAGGAAGGCGTTGTTGCTCAAGCTCAACTAGTATTAGCTTCCACTGATGCACCAGAAACCAATCCAATTGGCTGATCTCCAGAGGCTACTCTTCATTCTCTGCTTGTTGAAAAGCTCTGATGATCTGTTGCAGTAAGAAGGTCTGCTTCACTAGCTTCTGTTTTCTGCACTGGAACATGTTTCATAATTATTCTCAACGACCAATACTCCCTTGTTCTACTTCTTGCCCTTGAGATTTTCTGTCAAATTCATACCCAATTTTGGAAATATCTCAGATGACAACTTACGCTGCTTTTTGTTGACTTCGTTGTGAGAAGAGAATGGCATATATAACAGATAATACTGAGTGATTTTGATGAATCTTCTGTTGAAATGGCATACGACAAATTCTGTTTATTGGGAATTGATAACATAAGAAAGTTGAGGATATGGTGCATAAGATACTGAAAAGAAAGTCATAACATATTCCTGGTATTCCTCTGTGGATAAAAACCATCAATCAAATAAGTTATCAAATGACTTCCCAATGTGATTCTCGACCCGAATGCTATCGAGCTAGATGATCTTGACATCAGGGGGTAAAATCAACAACTTTTATTACGAGGAAATTATACATTAAATTCTACATATGTAATCTTTCAATTTTGAAAATTAGTCTTCCTGGATCTCGTCGGAAGATGAACAAGAAATTAGTCTCATTGTTGATGTGCTTTGGACGTCTACTTAATAACTAAATGTTTAGACTTTTATCTTATAACTTTCAGAAGCCTTATCTGTGTGTCCCATTCAAAAACCGGGGAGGATATTACAGGATGGAATTAGACACTTGAAGAAAGGGCAAACGCAAAATTAGTTTTTGAGAAAAGAGGACGGATTACAAACATACATTTCTCACGAGGAGCAAATGGCCTTTTAACAGGCTTCGTCTCTTGGAACAATAACGCGAGGAAGGAAAAAGATACAAATCATTTTGCATTGCTCTCCTCAAAATTTCCTGTTCTATAATATCCACAGTACATAGGGTGCGGTTATCCATTCAAATATTAAATTTTTGAGGAACAGAATCGAAGTCATCATAATCGAATCTCTGCCTCTCTCTTCCAGCCTGAAAACAGCAATTTTCTTTTTATAGTTTTACCTATCTACAATTCAAAATGAGATTTTGATTTAGAGATGCTCACCTTTGCTAGATACAGAGGATCATATGATATACTTTCATCCATTGCAGTCAGCTTTTTCGCAAGTTTCATCATCCTGTAGCGAGTAGAGGAAGGAAAAGAGCAATGAAGTATTGCTAAAACCTGAACCGAACATCCCACAATCAATCAATCCCAAACATCATACCTCTGGATCGACGAGTCAATATGCTCAACCATCTTGCAGGATTTGTACTGTTCAGAATCCTCTAGAAAGCTGACCATTCCATCCTTTTGATTAATTGTTGCAAAAATCTCACCGTCCTGGATCTAAAATTGGAACAAGAACTGATATTACAAGAGATGGAGGTTGATTAATATATTAATCCGGCAATTCTGAAATTACCATTCGTAGCACATGCATTTCAGCTTCCTTAGGGCTGTTGAGTTTAACAGAATTGGCTATATCTTGAAGAGAGAGGGTCAAGTACGTCTGCGTCAATCTCTGAATGTTGCGTTTATACAGAGAAGATACAGCCTGCTTCACGAGTCCAAGATTGTTGTCCTGGTATAACACGACCAATAAGTCATATCAAGAACCCAGAAGCATACAGATGATAGATCGACAAACCAAAGGTCTCTTCTCTGCTGCATGCACACACCATTTAATTGGACCAATCTGAAGTGATAACATAGTGAAATAGGAATTCTTACATTTTCAAATTTCTCCCTGTTCGTTTGAAAAACAGTGTCTAATTCGTCAACGTTTCCCGTGCTATAACTATTTGCCAGTTCAATGTAGGGCTGTAGAAGAGGAAAGAAAAACAAGTAGCATAGACACGTCACTTGGATCACAGAAAAGGGAAGGGGAATACAAGCACATGGATAGCAACTGGATATGATAATACATTTTTTCGTAACCCAAATGCATAGTTTCCATCAGCACATTTGAAGCAAAAATATACCAAATGAGACCAGCACTAAATCATTCACTCTAAGAGCAATTTATATCTATTATACCCACAATGCTGCTTTGATCAATCATAAATAAGATTGCGCTCCACCTATATACAATCTAGATGGCATCTACATCTAGAGCTTGATGGACAATTTTTCAGGATTGCAATAAAGAACTGCATCACTCATGGCAAAGAAAATTTCTAATTTCAAGCAAGTCTAGATCCATCGTTCCATTGATGGATTTGATTTTCATTTCTAAAATTGATAACTAAATCCAAAAATGATCATTGATTCCTACAGTTTCAAAATGAGGCAACTTCACATTTTGTTGAAATCAAACATTGAAATAAATGTATCTAAGTATTTGTCCATGAACAAAGAGAAGCTTTTCAGTACAAATTTACAGTACCTGACAGAAAATTTTCAAATTTCTCTGTGCTACTGAAGAAGTGTACTTCGGGAGACTAATCGAAAACTGCCATCATGCATGTAGAGGCAAATTAGTCCCCTTAACATCATAGGAAATAAAAGCATACTAAGTGACTCAAAGCTAAAAGCAACAAGAACCCCGTTATGCTGCAAAGTGTTACTATGTTTAAAATTCTATGAAACAAATATTCGAGGTAGTTTGCTCAGCTAGTCAAAATCCAACGATGATCACATAATTTACATCCTTGTTGAGGAAATAATAATTACACATTACCCACCTCCTTGGTGGAACATCTCATTTTTTCGAGATTTTTTTCCGTAGGTCGAGGCTTATAGTTACCATCAGAAAGGTGACAAATATGGAGATAGTAGAGCCATAAAAAGCTAAAAAAACAGAGATATGAGAATATTTATTAACGCTAAGATCTGATTGACAATTGTACCAGTATTCAATATAAGAAGCAAGAACAGAATTCATATTTTATACTCCTAACATGATGAAATCTAAAAAACAACCCCCAGATATTCCTTCCTCATTTCCAAATATTTGAGGCCTTAAAATCAATGATAAAAACTAACAATAAAGCAGATAGAAAGAGTAGCATACTTGTCCATTGTAAATGAGGGAGAGCAAAATGTACTTTTTATATGCTTCAACAGCTATAGCATTCATTGATGACATCGGAGAACTTACAGCCTGTAACAAAAATATGGGGAGTGGCTGTCAGATCATCCAAAAACACGTTAAAAAATTCAAATCAAAAGTATCAATGGAAAGAGTTCCATTAGATGGTGCACATTATGAAGAAGCTCAAGCGCTTTAGGAAATAGCTTTAGTCCTATGCAAATCATCCCCCTGTCACATAAGAAAATATCATCAGAAAATCCCTATTTATAGAGAAAGACAAAATTGAATCTCAGCATATGAATGATCTCATAGAATTAAATTATGTATCACATTTTTTTAGAAGGACAATGTCATTCACAACTTACAACAAGCCTGCTTAAACATAGTTAGTTGCTTTCCTATTAAATAAATGTCTTTTATAAGACAGTTAAATGATTGAATAAATGAAGTCGGAGAGGCCTGATTTTTCAAAAAATAAAAAATAAAAAAGAAACTTAAATGTGAAACCAAACTTTCATTAACAAGGAATGAAAGTCAGCTAACAAGCTAATTAACAAATAAAAGCCTGAAACAAAAGGAAGCCACGAAAACAAAATAAACAATAGACAAATATACTCCGGTTGTTAAAAATAAAAGATAAATGATCATTTCAAAAAATAAGAATACATATAAAGGGCAGAGGGAAGCATAAAATGGGCCAAACCATTCCTCCACCTAATACTCCTTTACACCCTAAAAAATCTCCTCCATCTCTTCACAACAAAAGCAACTCATGAAAAGCCTTTCGGTTGTCTTCAATGAAATTTCCAATTTAGGGCCAATGTCACACCCCCGAAATGTCCAGCCATAGAAAATTGACATCTCCATGAGATATAATCTAAGTCCTCTAACATGCATTTACAAAAGACAAACTACTAAATATCCAAAACCAATAGACAACGACCCTTGAACAAAGATAGTGGTCTTAATGCTCATATAAGCTACTTATTAAATCATAAATCAATCCAAAAACTTGAGTTGATGGATTATGGTAAATTTAATTTTATATTAATATTTTAACACTCCTCACTTGGGGACTTGAAAACTTGTAGAAGACCTAACAAGTGAAAAAAAAAAAAGTAATTGGGGAGGAAAAGATATTACAGGGGTTCGATTATCGAATCTCCTGCTCTAATGTTGGGTGAAATCACCAATAAACCTGGAAGATTAAGTTGATAGGTTATGACAAATTTAGTTCTATATCAATACTTTATCACTACCAAACATGAAAAATTTTCAAGATTTCAGGAAAACTTAACCTTGCAAAGCATAGGACAAGAAAGGTAATCTATGAAAAGGAAGAGCATTCAATGCGAAAAGATTGATAAGAAAGCACTCATTGGGACTTGGAGTCCAACCATGAAAGTCTTAGTACCTCGGGCAAAGATGGAAAATCATATAGAAGGAAAGCAGAGAGGATAACCCGAGCTTCTATATCAGGAAAAAAAACCTCTTAAAGGTTATAGAGGTGGAAAAAGAAATAAAGAAGATCATCACCCTTCCAAAAATACACCTAGATCCCTCCCCAATGGAAAACTTGAATAATTTGGAAAAGCAAGAGAGACCCATAGAAATAGCCTTCCATCAGTTCCTGAAAGTGTCTTGAGTTACTATAGTCGTGTTCTGTTCCACTTTGCTAGATGTCACCTATTTTGCCTTACTAGCTATAACCACTTAGCCACAAAAGTAAAAAATTTCATATCTTCAACCTACCCTCTTCAATAGACTTTGAGATATAATTTTCTCCACCCTTTTGAGGATACGGAGAGATCCTACTTTTAAAACAAATTGAACAAAAGTTAGTCTTCCTGTAAGGAGGCAGAATATTTTAATCATGGCAGGGATCCAAAATGTAATTGACCTAAGATTACACCATAATAAAAGATCCAAGTAGGAAACAATGAAAAAGCCTCATGCCTCGCAGGCGTGGGGAAAATGTAACAATTAATGCTAGAAACAAAAAACGTATCCCAATTGATCATAGCCTAGGAATATTTGAACCTTATTCCTTCCAACATATAACTTTCAACCAAGTACCTATCTATCTCTCTAGATGAGAACTTATTTAAGTATGTGAACCACTATGAGGAAAAGGAATGCTCACGAAGGTATTTTTTTTTATAAGAAATGAAAAATTGTATTAGCGAAAAAAACATAAACAAGGAGGGGTGATGAGTTATTCCCATCACACCAAAGGTTTACAAAAAGGCCTCCCAATAGCAATGAGAGAGGATCGCCCTACCTAATTCTCTTAGTTGAAAAGATTTTAATTTTGAGCTTGCTAACCACAAAGAGGTCCTCCATTAGAAGATAGTTTTAAATGGGGATCTCCAACAAACCAGCCCAAATCCCTTTTTTTCACAAAACTGTCCAAAAATCCCAATTAACATGATTATAATACTCTCCAACAAACCTCCCTTTTTACAAATTTTACTCCCCATAATCTTTGATTGATTCGGTAGCAACAAAAGTTTCTTCAAGAACCCATCTCCCAACAAAAAAAGGCCCTAGAAACTGAAAATAGTGTGGAGAGCACTCCCCTCATCCAAGATTTTATTATTAATTTTATATTAGTTGGTTACCAATCTGATGGGCATGAAGTCTTCAAATATATCATGTATTATCCTTATTTAAAAAAAAAAAAATATATATATATATATATAAAAGATGTTGATCTCATCCATAGTCACATCAATAATAACACTATCGTAAAGCAAAACACACAGACGCCACTAGCTAGTTGAATGGACAAAGAAACAAACTATAGACCAGGTGCCTTGAGGTTATGGGTTTAAACTGTAGTGTCACCTATTAAATGTCTTCAAAGTTTCAAGAAACCTATGTTGCAAGGTAAAAGGTAAAAGGTGTTCCACCAAAATTAGTCAAAGTTGCACCCAATTGTAACAAACCCTAACGAGCTACTACAACAAAAGGAAAAACAATACAACAAAAAGTAAATATGATCTACTCCTCCAAACAACAGAGCTCAAAAAGAGCTCAATAGAAAATTTTGACTAAATGGTAGCACACTCATTAGCATAATATGAAATAAGTCAAAGAAACCTAGATTAACTACATAAGATGTTTCACATACACCATAAAATTTCTTAACGTTATAATTCTTGCTTAGCTAGAAAAGCAGCCGAACTCCATATGGAAGCACTATAAAAGCCTTTTCACCCTAAATCATTGACCACTAAACATATTTTAGATGCACCATAAAAGTCCTCAAAGATGACATAGAATGAAATCAACATCCAAGAGAAGGGGGATAATAAAGAAAGATAGAAAGAAAGAAAGAGAAGATAGCATTTGCAAAAATAAAATATATATATATATAAACTTTGAGAAATAACATATGAAGGAATAACCAAGTTGACAAAAAACATGAAATAATCAAATGCATCTTTACTAATGAAGGAAAAATACATCAATTGAGAGTTCACGGTGGAGAAGAAAAGTAACTCACCCGTAATAACAATAAAGAAACAGGTCCCTTGGTTGATCAACCTCAAGAATATCATTATCCAATATAGATCTGCCAGTTTTGTAGCACTTGGCTAATAAGCAAAGAAGGAGAAACTCCGGATGTATAGTGGTTAAATGTTCTGAAGAGATCTGGAGTTTTCTAATAGCAGTAAGAAGTGGAGCCACCCCTCTAATTGGAGCTTCAAGTAGGACAACTTGATCTTTCAACCTCTTGCAAACTGAGACGACTGCACAATCGGCAGAATCAGATTAAAGATAGTCGAAAATCCAGATAGCAGTAATCACACATGTTATTAATAATAACGATCAATTTTCAGGAATGACTTGCATTTTTCAGGTGCTAAACGAATCTGCTCCGGGTTGCAAGAAGAGAGAAATCTTGAAATAGTCAGAGCAGTTGAACTGTATTGCTCTTGTGAAATTGGAACGGATGTGTATGCCTCTCTGCAAATATATTTCAAGAAAACATTATAGGTTAGTCCCTCTGCATACATATTCAAAAATGAAAATGGTAAAAGGATTTAATCAGATGCATTTCCATGTCTGCTCCAACCACACACTCGTCAATACAAACCCGTCAAACGCCAATTCTTGGACTCCGTCTCTTCAAACTTATACCAAAAGAAATGATTGCTCAAAAAAAATCTCTCACCGATAGGAATGAATCCTTAATAGTACTATAGTAGTGTAACATACAAGAAAGGCAGGCCAGGCCCTAATTTGTCTAAACAACCAACATCCAGATAGAACAATTCAGAGAATAAAAACTTACAGAATGTAGAGATATCCTAAAGAATGTTTGGAAGCATCAAGTTGAGCCAATGCAGAAGGTAAACAAGCGGTGTCGGAGTGAAGCAGTTCTTCTGATTGCTTGAGAATAGTATGGAGGCGTGAGATATCGCCGGCGGTGCTGGACAGCCCTTGGATTTGTGCCACGAGAACTTCAACCGTGCCCATGATCGTTAATGCGAAGCTCTCAGTTGAAGCTTAACAGTGGCTCTATCACCTGCACAGGATGAGTACCTTCGAGAGAGTCAATTGAAATGGAGCTTTCTACTGATCGATCACTCCTTTCTTTCTTCTCAAGTCGGAATCCGATGGGTGAATTACCAGGTCGTTGGAAGAAGGGATTGAGCCCATGTCCTACGGCCTCAACTCTATCTTCTGGGCTCTGCACTATGTCCGGCCCAATAAGCTCGGCCCAATAAGCTCGGCCCAATACCTTTTTTAAGCAATAAAAATTTAAAATTAAACATATAATTTATAAAGAAAATATTATTTTCCCTTTCGGCCCATTTAGTAGAATTGCCCTTCATCTCCGGCAACAATTCAATTTTCCCAGTAAGAATTGCTTGTATGGCGGGCTCTTTCATGGCGGTCGCCTTCCTGCAAAAGACCAAATGAATAGGTATTGGGTAATGCCTTATCGAACATGGGGGAGAGCTCATATGTCAGCAAGGGGAAATATTTTGCCGATGGTTCCACCGTTGCGCACGAAGTGGTGCGCCGTCTCCTCCCGGTTTCGATGTTTACAGGTTTCTTCTAATTCAGCTTCTACATGTAACTTTCTACCATTTCTTTTCTCTAGAAGATGGTTGAGTCAAAGTCAAAGAGTCCCATCCTCATTTTTGCTTCAAACCAGACCATTTCCTGATTATTCTCCTAAGAAGCCTACAATTAGAGATGCTGAACTTGTCCATAACATCACTGCTACAATTAAGTTGCGCCGTTCTGAGCCCCTCCGACGCACTCTAAAGCCTTATGAATCCAGCTTTAGGCATGATCATCTGATTTGGGTACTGATGAACATTAAGAACGAATATAATTTGGTTTTGGCTTTCTTTGATTGGTCACGGATTCGTAGAGATCCTTCTCTGGAAGCCCGTTGCATTGTTATTCACATTGCCGTGGCGTCAAATGATCTTAGAATGGCTCATGAGCTGGTTCGTGATCATTTCTTGAACTCAAATCTGGGGGTTAGTGTTACAATGGCTCAATTTACCAACCGGCTGATATACACATATAAGTACTGGGGGTCAAATCCCATTGCATTTGACATATTTTTTCAGGTCCTAGTTGAATTTGGTTCTTTTAGTGAAGCAAGAATACTGTTGGACAAATGGTTGAGCTATGGATTAGTTGTCACCGTTGATTCTTGTAATTTTTTTCTTAGTCGCATGGCTAACAATTCTGAAGAAATAGGGATGGCGATTAAGTTTTTTAGAGAATATGGTATTAGTTGGAATACTACATCTTATAACATCGTTATTTATGCTTTATGTAGATTGGGTAAAATAAAAGAAGCCCATCGGTTACTCATGCAGATGGATTATAGGAGTTCTACACCTGATGTTGTTAGTTATAGTACCGTGATTGATGGATATTGTCAGTTGGGAGAATTAAAGAAGGCATTGAAGCTTATAGATGACATGCAAATACAAGGACTGAAACCAAATAGTTATACCTACAATAGCATAATATCACTTTTGTGTAAAATTGGCAAGCCATTTGAAGCAGAAAAAGTATTGAGAGAGATGATGTCTCAAAAGATTGTTCCTGATAAGGTAGTCTACACCACTCTCATACATGGTTTCTACAAATCAGGACATGTTCAAACTGCAAATAAACTGTTTGACGAAATGTTGTCTAAGAAGATCGGTCTTGATTATATAACCTATACAACTCTTATCCAGGGATTTGGTCAAAGTGGAAAGGTGATAGAACCACAAAATTTGTTCCATGAAATGATTAGCAGAGGGTTCGAGCCTGATGGAGTTGCTTATACAATGCTAATCGATGTTTATTGCAAAGCAGGTGAGATGATGAAGGCGTTTTCTCTTCATAATGAGATGGTTCAAATGGGACTGACTCCAAATGTTGTGACTTACGGTGCCCTGATTGATGGGCTTTGTAAGCGTGGAGAACTGGATACAGCAAATGAGCTTTTGGATGAGATGCACAAAAAGGGCCTTCAACTAAATGTATGCACTTATAACTCGATTATTAACGGTAGTTGCAAAGCTGGAAATATTGCACAAGCAATAGGACTGATGGCAGAGATGGAGGTGGGTGGAATTAATCCTGACACTATCACTTATACCACTATCATTGATGCCTATTGTAAATTAGGAGATATTGGTAAGGCTCATAAACTTCTTCAGGAGATGTTAGCTAGAGGGCTTCAACCTACTGTTGTTACATTTAATGTTCTAATGAATGGATTTTGTATGTTGGGAATGCTTGAAGATGGTGATGTGCTGTTAGGGTGGATGCTAGAGAAGGGCATTGTGCCTAATGCAGTAACATACAATACTCTCATGAAGCAGTATTGCATTAGAAATAATATGAATGCTACGACTGAAATTTACAAGGGGATGCGTAATCAAGGAGTGATCCCTGATGGTAACACCTTCAATATTTTAATAAAAGGGCATTGTAAAGCACGAAATCTGAAGGAGGCGTGGTTTCTATATAAAGAAATGGTTGAGAAAGGATATGTTCCCTCTGTTACTTCATATAATGCACTCATAAAGGGGTTTTACAAGAAGAAGAAAATTTTGGAGGCAAGGGAACTCTTTGAAGAGATGAGAGGACATGGGTTGGTCGGTGATAGAGAAATATACAATATCTTTGTTGATATATTCTATGAAGAAGGAAATATGGAGATAACTCTTGATCTCTGTGATGAAGCAATCGAGAAATGTCTACTTGTTGAGAGATAAAAAGGAAAGAGCTTTTAGTTCAATACATTTCTCTATGTGATGATCAAATTTCAGTTTCACAAGCTTCATCAGGCAAGCCAGTACTCTATAGATTATTGATCTGAACTACCTGCACAGTGCCATGGGAACTTCAAGATTATTGGTAGAATTTCTGGAATGATGGTGGAGGTGCTAGGATTGAATTTCAAGATGTTAGGTGTATGTAAGAGCTTGCCATTTGTTTCTTGTCAATGTCATCATAACATCTTGCTTTCTCCTCTAGCTGCTTTAGGACTATATAGTCCTACTAAACCATATAGTTCTGAAGCATCCAAGGATAGATGGTACTCAGCAAGCTAACAAGTTTTTATTTTTGTCCAGGTTCTCCCGCCCCTTGGAGGTATTTGGGAGAATGTTGGAACATACATGAAGATCATCTCATACTGCTGATTCAAGACTCTTTCCTTTGATTATTACTTCAAAGCATATGCCTTTATTTCAAAGTTTGATTATAAACGCCGGACCAGTGGCCTACTCTCAAGAAACTGTGGAATGGTCAATAGTGTAGAACTGTGGAATGGTCAATAGTGTAGAACTGTGGAATGGTCATTAGTGTAGAACTGTGGAATGGTCAATAGTGTAGAACTGTGGAGGGGGGAGGGAGGCATCTTGAGTCTTGTCATGAGCCTGACAAGGTGGTACAACACTCGGCCTATTCTCTGCTGCAGATGACAAGCAGCAGGTAAGATAATTGTAAATTTGAGGTTTTCTTACCCATATATCTAAATGCATTTCATCAATATTTTGGACAGCCAAAACGTGAGAACCGCCACCTCTCAACACCAAACCAGGCAGCACCTCCTCTGCTATAGCTGAAGGTCCTTGGAAAGCCAAAACCATTGCTCACTGATTCATGGAGCGCCAGTAAAGGATGCGTTTCGAGTTTTTTTAGTTCAACAACTTTATTTTATTAATTAGTTTTCAAAAGATGGTGTATGTTGTTTCAAAATATTGAATATTCTTGAACTAATAATAATAATAAGTTGTGTGTCGATATGACTCCCATTCAATACTGTAGAGTTATTCAATACTTTCTTAGATCTTAAATCATGTTCAATAGTAAAATGAAAACAAGTAATTCCTACAAGTTGTGTATAATCCTGAACGAATAAATAAGCCGTACATATTTTGGTCCCTTCCAATCTAGCCAAACAAATAACAATACTTACACGTTCTTCAAAATAATGCAATTCAAAGTATCCTGAACTCAATGAAATTCAGTACCTGTTTTTTCTAATATAATGTGACAGATATAGACGTCTACTCAGCTTAACACAAACATTCTCTGAAAACCAATTTCACATACACTGAGAGAAAATAATATGATTTTCGACATGGGCCAAAGGGTGAGGGCTCGCAATGTTATATCAAGTTAAGGAAAATCAAACTGTGTTGATAGTATCTGCAAGGGCACGGAGAATGCAGCCTAAGCCAGCCTTTTCTGTCAATTTTTCATGTATCCTGAGACACTGATCACATGTGGGGCGATCACCAGTTGACAACCCTCTGTACAAATACCTGTAAGTACTAGTATATCTATGTCAATCAATGCTCAAGTTCAAGAAACAAGAGAACAGCCTGGAAGACCAATAAAAGTTACCTATTATGGGTCAGAAAAAGAGAATACAACGAAATAGAAGATAGTTCATAGGCGCTTTCTTGCAAAGATATTGGGTTGTGTAACATGTCCTCATTCCATTAGTAATGAAACACTTCTTATATTTGGGAAAAACAAAAGAAAAGAAGTTTGAACAATGTTCGCCTTGTTGGCCAGTATGTTCCATCAAATTGACCATAGAATGTACAAAATCACAAAAGCTCTCAAAAGATTTCTGTCTTCACAAACTCCTTGGTTTCTGTTAGGAATGTTGTCAGGGTAGAAGAAACCAGAAATATCACTAGGTTGGTAAAGCTATAATAGTCATTAGCTAGGAGGTTTTTTAGGAGGGGAAGGAGATTGAAGTAGGTAATAGTTTAGTTGGTTTAAGCTTGAAAAAAAATAACTCAAGAAGAAGGTTCAAAGTTCCTAAAATACTAGCCCTTTTTCATTTCTTCATTCTACATAATATCGATATAGTTATTTGGTTTGTATCACTCCCCAAAATTCTATGCCCTCATGCTGGAATTTTAACCCCAAAATAATCTCAAGAAACCCGACCGGGACTGTATAATTTTAACTTCGTAGTGCAATCAGGGTTGGCAAGGGCCCATACTTATTTCTTATCGGTGTTTAGGATGACTTCACTTCGAAAGTTATTTCAAACATGCCCTTAACAAAACATTAGCAAAATTCTGTAAAACTTCAGAATTTAATGTGGGAGACAAATAAGGGGCAGACATCAGTGGAATGAAGTGCTGCTGTGTATTGAGAGAAAGGCTGGTTGTGACCTTCTAACTTAAGAAGATGTGACGAGGTATTTCTAGCTAAACGGTTATGAAGATCAGCCATCCAATCATCCAAGCACTAGGGACTAACACAATCCCTATCAACGTGGACATATCATTTTTTTCTTTCAACCTCCTATCGACATGAACATATCTTAGCAGAGCTAGAAGTTCAAAATTTGTTAAAGATAAAAAATAAAAAATAAAAAAACAATAACCAGCTTCATACGCATAAAGATAATCGAAGCAATAGGAATATAGACATCTTAGCAGTTAAATACCATAAGAACTCACTTCATTAGGATATCATAATACTCCGGATCCAACGAAGAAAACATCCCATCTACGTCCTTTATAGCCATAAGAGCCCTATGCACCACAATCCAATTTGCCGACTGCAGAAGTCCAAAAAATCACATCAGATTTATTCAATTCTCGCCCAATTCAGGCAGACCGACAACACGTAAACATAAAATATAACACGTCCATTCATTTTGAGCAGCTGCAAGCAAATGGAGCAGACTACTTCCGAAAAATATATCAACTACCAGCAAGTTCTAATTGACCCCATCATCGAGATAATACAGGAAAAGCATTCAAAAAAGATCACGATAATTGAAAATGACTATCATCCGATAGCAGAGAACCTACCGTAATTGCCTATAGACTTCTAAAGATCACCCAAAAATTTAATAATAATGAACACAAAAACTTATTAGATCTTGCAAGGAAAAAAGAACATGATGTAGAAAAACAATAACGAAGCATGCAAGAGATCATAAATGAAAGAAGGGATACCTTGCAGCGCTCATCTCGTGTATTCGGAGGCGAACCTTCGAGAGCAGTTTTTAGAGCTTCGACTGTTTTAGACCTGAACGAGTAAACAAATTGCTAATCGAGGCATTTTCAATTATTAAAAATGGAAGTTAGGAGGAGCTAAACATATTTAAATCTTAGAAATCAAACAGCAGATATAGAGATCATTACTGTTTAAGTAAGCTCTCGATCTTCCGAGATTTGTGCTCAATTCTAGTGATTATGGCTTCGGCATTATCTGCTCCCACAAATGCATCTGACATTTTCGCCTATCACCCAACCTTCAGCAGAATTTCCTCGAACTTAGCCTCTGTTAGGAAACCCTGGATTTAGAAGGCACTTCTGTTTGGTATGAATAGAAAAAATAGAATTTGAAATCCAAAATGATATGAGATCTTGCTTTGATCCAAAAGTTTTCCATCCAAAATAAGTCGGGTTTGGCAGGATTTTAAACTAAAATTGGCCTAATCTCAATTTTACCCTATTTTGATGTGGATTGAATCCAAGAAAAAAAAAAAAAAAAAAGTTTCCGGACAGACTTCGATGGCAAAAATCGAAAGATGGAGGGGCTGCTATAGAAAACTGACCCATGGTGGCGCGAGGTTGCAGCAGGGAAGTATATAAGAAGAGAAGGAGAAAAACGTGGCGGTGGGGGCGTACCGACGACCGGCGACTAGCAACGGCCGCAGCAGAAACGAAGATAATGAGAAACGAAAGAAGACGGTGCGTGGGTGCAGCTGCGGCAGCCGGCAAATATTTATTTTGGAGAAAATTTTTTATATATAAATATATAATAAAATTAAAATTGTTACATAAAACATTATTATTATTATTATTATTATTATTATTATTATTATGGTTGTAAAAATAGATGTTATTCTTCGAGATTTCATTGATCTGAATTTCTTCAGCTTAATAACAGCATCCCACTGGGTTTAATAAGCGAGCAAAAAGTGTCCAAATAGTGTGCTGAATCCGAGCCAAACGCCTTGGGTTCCAATTCATCAAAAAGATCATCATCTATTACAACACCAAAATTAAACCTGCACAGGCTGCTGCTGCTGCTGCTGCTGCTGCTGCTGCTGCTGCTGCTGCTGCTGCTGCTGCTAACTTATGGAACTTACTGTACATCAAAACTAGCCTCAGTCCCCTTCAACACCACCTAAAACTCATCACCTACTCTACTCTACATCAAAACTCGCCTCTGTGTCCCAGTTTCCCAATTTCCATACTAAGATGTCACCGTACGCACAATCTTGTTTCACATCCACGCAGTTTTTGGTTTTCAGTACCTGCACTACGTACCATATTTGTATATGAGACACCCCAATTATGCTTTACTTTTGCTAACTAACAACAAACGAACAAACCAACGAACGAACAAACATACCAATATCTCATAGAATACTTTAGCACTCTCTTTTCTCGTTTTCCTGCTAAGAAGGTGTCTCAAATTTGCACCCTCTTCCACAGTTTGCCCCCTTTGATTTCTAAAATTTTGGAGAAGATAACCACCTACCATTCTGTACCATTCATCACACCTCTCACAAGTCAACACCAAGTGGGAATGAAATGTAACAGCAGTTCACAAACTCGAATCCGATCCACCTTACCTTGTTCTCGCAGGGCTTCCGGGTTCCAGTGCATCCTCTTCACAAAACCTTAGCTGCTGAACAAACGACGAAAATTGGGATCAACAAAATATATTGAATACATTTCCCAAAAAGTTAACAAGCCTTACTGCTTTCGAGTTAGGAACTTTAGGGCTATCTGGACTCCCAAATAATCTAGCTGATGTTGAGCACCGAACCGGTGTCCCGGGTGCTATTGCTATTTGCTCGAGTCTATCTGAAGTTTGAGGTTCTGATGTAGACAACTGTTCCAGGACAGAAGCTTCAGAAACTGAAGCTCTATCCACAGAAATGGTGGTTTGTTCAGATCTGTAGGTAGTGGGAGATCCAGAAATCTCTGGTTCATTTGAATGCCCTCCAGTTTTGGAAACTGTGACCGGGCTATCCATTTTCACTAACATGTCAAAAGCTGGAGAACTTGGATCATCCAAGTTTTCAGCAGATTTCACCAATTCAGCAGATTCCGATATGTTCACTAACGTCTTAGAAAGAAGGGACTTAAGCTCGGGCGAAACACCTGTAGAAAAACATCATCAGAGGACAAACTAAAATTTAATACTTTTTTGCTTTTAGATCAAATATGATTTTCAGAGAACCCAGTCAAGAGGCTCATAGACTTACAGGACATCAAAGGCACTGAGAAGCCAAAGGAGAGACTAGAAATTTGACTAGCTTTCCAGACAGCAAGACCACTACGAGGACATTTGCTTCTTTTTGAAACCAAGTTGCTGGCATCATATATGCTTCGCTTAAATTTTCTGATACAGTTTTAGCAACATGTTATCACATTTGTGTCTCGAAAGAAGATAACAATTCACCAACAAATCTGATCGAAACAAAACTACGAGGGAACTTACTCGTTCGACAAAACAATAGGATCGTCAACAATGCATTTTCTCTTCCTTGATGTCCTCGGTCTCTCCTTATTAGCTGGAGTCGAAATTGTTGTAAACTCAGGTGTCTTGGTACCTACATGAAAAAGAACAGATTAACACGTGATTTAAGTAGTCAAAAGAACACAAAATTGTAGATAAATCATTTAAATGATGGAAGTTGGTTCAGAAATTTTACCCACCTGTAAAATCTGGAAATTTTGAATCAAACATTCCATCAAGTGAAATAGATAGTTGAAGACTGTTTCGAGATCCATCACGGTCTTCCATTTCAGGTGATTGCATTTCAAGAAAATTCAAAGCATCCCCTTCACTATCCGTTCCAATAAGTTTTGTAGGTTCATTTTGTGCACTCCAAGACACGTTGATATCCATGCTATCCACAAGAGTTGCAGAATTATCTCTAAGTTTCTCCATGCTTCTTTCCGAGGTGCTGATGTTATCGTCTCCGTTCACGAACTCAAGTTCATTTTCTGATCGAATTCCCACGATCTGATTAACTTCTTCAGATAATTTCAAATGCTCTGTTATAGAAACTTCCTTGTCAATTACAGTTTCTTCATGAGAAAATCTATCAGTCAAAACCATTTCAGTGCTTGCTTCAGGAACTACATGTTCATATTGCAGCATTTTCTCCTTCTTCATCTCTTCTTCATCAGATCGATGATCTTCATTAAATTGTTCGATTGCTTTGATATGCGTATTCCCAATTCCAAATACCTCAATCTCATAATTTTCATCAGAGAATGCACTCACTTGAAAATTTTCTGACACAATATCGTGATGTAATGAGCTTGCCTGCATCTCACTGTCCTTGAGGTGAGGCGAAAAGACTCTGGAGCAATAAGAATATTAAAAAAGTGATCACCCTGCATAGAATGAAAATTGAATATTGAAGTCAAGGAAGTAACAGTGGAGCTTGGCCTACATACTCTTTGAATAAGGTATCATCAGAATAGCAAATACTGTGAAGTGGAGTGAATTCCTCGCCATGGTTCTGCAACAGTGTAAGATAAAATTTCCAACTCTATACACGTTGATAAAGTTTGAACTTCTTAAGCTGAACTCTTAAATCGACTTTAACAACTATTTACAAACGCTCAATCAAATTAATTTAGTTTTGACTCGTTTAAGCGCTAAACATGATGGAACACTTACCTCGTCAATCGACAGTGTGATGTCATTTTTCCACATGCTATCTGCATAAATTATATGCCATGAAGAATTGAATTGTTAGAAGAAAATATGTATTAGAAGAAAAACGTAAAGTAAACACCATACCTTTGAGGGTAATCTCTTCATGGCATACCATGTTGCTTCTAAAAATCGAAGGAACGTCGAGTTAGAAATAATTATAATAAAAGATAAATAAGATAAGCCTAACAGAGAGATAACCTACCCAGTAAGGTCCTCAAGAATCCCCAGATCAAACGCGTCGAGTTCAAATCTTTTAGGAAGGGTAATAGCATAATAAGGTGTTTGCTTTTCCTTTCTAGCACTATTCTTTGTGCTGACCACAAATTCGTTGATTTCGGTCAGCACTTTATTGCAGTCAACATACAGATATTCAACTTTTTTGGAATAGATCCGGGCGATGCCGAGGAGGAGGTAGGCCATTACTCTATATGTCACAGCATTCAGTTCATCTTGCAAAATTTTATCTACAAACAGGCAACAAATACAGGACAGAGAGGAAAGAGCAATCAGAGCCCATACAAAATAGAAGTAACAGCAAGTAAATGAAGAGGAAATGTGTGCATATGCAATTTCAGTTTGAAAAGAAAGTATCAAAAAGCAGATCATGTTGAAGCATGCAGCATAACTGATTGTAGAAAAAACTGGGAATGAACTAGAAATTAGTACAGATTATGAATCACAGTAGAAAGGGCATAAGCCCTTTCAATTAATAATTAGAAAACTATACTGTACCTGTAAGCAACATTTAACTCGTCTGGTAAAATTAACCAACGCACAGAAACATGAACAGGATAGAGGAACAATGGTGATTGAAACTGAGAGTAGAAAACGATAGTTACAAATAGAGCCCTTAACAGTCATTTGGTGTACCGGCCCATATATTGTCCTCTTTTAGCTTTCCTTTTCAGGCTTCCCCTCAAGCTTTTAAAAGGCGTCTGCTAGGGAAAGGTTTCCATACCCTTATAAAGGGTGTTTCGTTCTCCTCCCCAACCAATGTGGGATTCACACAATCCACCCCTCGGGGCCCAGCGTCCTCGCTGGCACTTGTTCCTTTCTCCAATCGATGTGGGACCCCCACCAAATCCACCCCCCTTCGGGGCCCAGCGTCCTTACTGGCACACCGTCTCATGTCTACCCCCTCTCGGGGAACTGCCTCCTCGTTGGCACATAGTCCAGTGTCTGGCTCTGATACCAACTGTAATGGCCCAAGCCCACCGCTAGCAGATATTATCCGCTTTGGGCTTTCCCTTTCGGGCTTCCCCTCAAACCTTTAAAACGCATCTGTTAGGGAAAGGTTTCTACACCCTTATAAAATGGTGTTTCGTTCTCCTCCTCAACCAACGTGGGATTCTCACATTTGGGATAGGTATTCCATATATGGTTATGCCTGAGTTCTATACATATAGATAGATCCAATTACTCCTTTTGCTATCACTTTGAAATCACGCATTCATTCTAGCTAAGCTCTTCGGACAACTCAACTGTTCTTAGACTACCAAACCTCTCGATAGTGGAATCACAAGATTATTTGACATTTGTTTCTAAAAGTTGTTTCCCCCATGTTTTGTTGTTGTGGAAGCTTTCTTTTCCAAATCAATAGAAGTTGTTCTTCCATTAAACTCGATGAGCTTTTGAAGGATTGCCATCTATCTAATCACTGTTTTCACAAATTTTAAAAAGTCTTAAAAAAAAAACAAGCTGGAAAGCAACTCATAAGACCTCCAAGTCCATGGCGGTCCACTTTTGGACATTTTCATATTCAAACGACATTACTCGTTCTTCTCCACAAAGTGCATACAGCCGCAATTATTTTCACGCATAAATTCCTAATCTTTTTAAAAAATGAACAGTATTACCAAAAAAAAACAAGAACATTCCAACCGGTCGTCTATTTACGTTTTAGGTTTTTCTAGGAAGAAGGTAACCCAGTGAATCGGATGATCTGTAAAAGCAGAAATCCAAACCAATTATAAAATTAAATCTCAGAAACTCAATCAAACAGGTAATTCCCTCACTAAATGGACTCTTTTACGATAATGGATTTCATAAACAAACAACAAGAATCAAGATCACAAATGCACTACGACTACGAGAAGGTTTCCAGGGTCCTACTTCCAAAAATTGGCGACAGAAAACTACATATATTCACAATATGTTAGGAAATATAATCATTTAAACGCTATGAAGCAACTCCATAAGCACAAAACCAGGCGCACTGGAATCACTTCAGTAAACGACTCGATAATGGGACACATTTCCCGTTATCTCGAAATCCCAAATGCATATACGAAAAATGGGAATAAAATTGAAAGACTTAAAGAAAGAGGAAGGCGAACCAACAGAGGATGGAATATCAGTATCTATAACCAGAGATTTCTTAAGCTTTTTGAAGAAGTAAGCAGCGACCCAAATGGCACCTGAAGGGCCTTTCCTCGAAAGAGTGCAGTGTGAGTGAAACATAGCTCTGACGAATTCTATTTTGCGCCGCAGAAAGCCAGAGGGTAAGGAAGCTTTCGGCTCTGGAATTCAAATGCGCAGAGAGTGCAGAACTTTCATGCAAAATGGAAGAAGAAGAAGAAGAAGAAGAAGAAGAAGGCTTTTAACCCAACCCGAGCCCGAAATGAATAAAGGAAGCTTGGGAGGTAAGAATCTGAAATGGAAAATGTGTCCGGAAAGGAAATTTTGAAAAAATTTGGGAATAAAAAGGAAATTGGATAAATTGAGGGGTGGAACTCAACCGACGGCGAGCGCGGTTTTTTTATTTGGATGTGCTTCCGTAGCTCACAATCGTACACGGATACGCCCACTTTTCTCTTTTTATTTCTGACATCCTCGTATTTATCCAATAAACATTTTAATGTTAATACAAAAAATAACATTTTTGTTTTTTTTATGATTTAAAATTAGTCTTTCTATTTTTATAATAAAAAAATTAGTTATTACAACTAATTTAAATTTAATTTTAAATTTGACCATTGCTTACCTCATTTACAAAAATTTAATTAAGACAAAACTCGATAGGTGAATTGAACCTCCAAACAAAAGAGAGGAAACTTGAACGGAAGCTAAAATTTCCTCATCGACCTCACGAGAAGTTTGTACCCATAACTCGTCGTTCCATTTGATCTTTAAAAATAAAGTGAAAATAAATAAAAGAGAAATTAATTAAAGTAAAATTATTTTAAAAAATTATATTGGGACATGAATATTTAAAATATAAAGAATAAGTTGAATAGAAGGAAAATATAATGATTTTATCTGAATTTATAAAAAAAAAAAGGGTTTTCTAAATCTCCATCCGTTGGGTTTTACGAAAAACCCTAGTTAGAAAGCTTAGCAAGCATCGACATGATCAAATAAGTCCGGGATTTCGATCCGTTCAAGCACGACGGTCTTCTTCAATGGCTATGTTTCTCAAACGTTCTTTCTCCTACAGGAATTTCCTTCTTCTCCGAAATTTTGCCAATCCAAGTCGTAACTTTTCCTTCTTCGTTTACGATCTCTGTAATCCATGGACCTCCGAGATGCCTGGAGCCTTTGCTCTTCCTCCTGCAGATTTCATCCGAGAAAGTCGTCGGGGATTTGCTAAAGGCCGAAAATCAAGTAACCGTCTTTTCATCTCTTATTATGCTTGATCTTCAAATCATTATTTCTCATGAAATCGGAAATTTGTTTCATTGGCTTCAAATTTTCATTGCCGTTTCGACTTTTCTCTTAATCTTGTTGAGTATATTGTTCATGTCCCTCCTGCTTCTTACAAGTTCCGGTTTTTAATTTTTGCATTGAGAAGACGAATCTTCTACAAGTATGGCTGAAGCATTACCTGATATTAGACCAACTATTAAAGCAAACGCTAGCTCACAGATGGAGGCTGCGATATCTGCATTATCAGGAGAATTGAGCAAACTTCGAACAGGAAGGGCATCATCTGGTATGTTTACCATCATATTATGTACCATTTACGCTTCGAGGTTCCATTATGTTAGCTTGGCCTTTTGATTACTCACACTTTCTTATACTTTGTATTTACAGGAATGCTTGACCACATTATAGTAGAAATTTCAGGTGTGAGGATGCCGCTGAATCAGATCGCAGCTGTTTCGGTCTTGGATTCAAAAACACTGTCAATAAATCCTTATGATCCTAATGTAATCAACTTGCAAAACCCTATTGTTCCTTAATTTATTGTGTTTTCTTCTTCATGGCATGTTAATTACTTAGATTCATGATTATTTGTGATAAAGAGACTTAACAGAGTAAATCTTGAATATATATTCTTTTAAGTTATGTTTTATTAGATCATTATCTTAATAAGATTCTTGTTTCTACTCTACCCAACATGAGAATTCATACTTGAAAAGGCTAATCTGAATGGGCTACTTATGATAGTTACTGTTCTATGCAGACACTAAAGAACTTAGAGAGTGCTATAGTTTCATCTCCTCTAGGTTTAGCGCCAAGAGTAGATGGAGAGAGGTTAATTGCAGTCATTCCACCGTAAGCTTTCATTTGGCTCTAAGAATTATCAGGACAAAATAGTTGTCTAGAAGCTGTTCTTTTACTAATAAAATTTTCCTTTTGTTCTTGCTATACCAGATTGACCAAAGAGCATATCCAGGTAGTCTTCAAGTCTTTTTTCATCCCTCCTTGTTATCAACTTATCACCTTCCTTCTTTCTATAGTGCTTTCATGGTGGATATTTTTGTAGGCTATGTGTAAGCTGGTCACCAAGTGTTGTGAAGATTCCAGACAAAGCATACGACGAGCTCGTCAAAAGGTATTTTTAGTTGTACCGTCCTGCTGTAAATTTCCTTTTCAGAAATCTGTGTACTTAATCATCAAGGGGGCTGTTCTTATTGATACATGATGTACCTAGTGTGGTAAGCTCAACAGTTGTAGGAATGTCAGGATTTCTATAGTCATCTGGACAAATTCACCTCTGAATCGCAAATCTCCCCTCTTACTAAACCCTGTTCCTTTTCCAATTGTGAGTTATAATCAATTACAACTGATACTCTGCGCATTCCCAGTTTCAAAATCAATGCCTTGATTTTATGTATGACAAGTTGAATCAGCCTGCAAAAGCAATTTAAGCTCTTTATTTGATATTTGCACTATTTCAGAGTTATGAGTTGATTGGTGGTTGATTCGCAGGCAATGGATACAGTAAAAAAGATGAGCTCAAGCTACCCGAAGGATGACATGAAAAGATTGGAAAAGGAAGTGAGTTGTTGTAGACGTTGGTTGTTACCTAATCAAATCATAGTTAAAGTTTGGAACTTGCTTTTTTATTTATTAAAATCTTGTTACGTTTTTTCTTCTTCCAGGTAGATGAATTGACCAAGAAGTTTATCAAGTCAGCTGAAGACCTCTGCAAGGCTAAGGAGAAGGAGATCACTGGAGGTTGAATATTTGGAAAAGAAGATTATCTCGTTCTCAATTTTGACAGATTAATTTAAACTCTATTATAGAGCTTTTCATAACCCATTTTGAGGGATGAAACAGAGGCGAACATCTGTCATATTTGGAAACATAGACGCAGTCCAAATGAAATTCTGTGGGTGTTGTTTTCACCTGAATGGATTCACATGTGGCAACAAGTATTAGGGTTTGCTTCTTCCAACTCGAAAAGAGTGCTTCAAAAGTTTAACTTTTTTCTGTTTTTTCTAGCATAAAAATGGTTTTGAAGTCCGAACAAAGTTTTCAAATTTTGAGGTAAAGAAAGTTAATTTTGAAAGTTTGAAATTTAAAAGATGACTGATGGACCACTTGTCCAGAAGATATTCAGACGACGTTGAAGGGGAAAGAGAAAATGCCTTAGAAGAGGTGAAACTCTATCCATTATAGTAGAGGCGATGGAGCATTTACAGCAACTGCTTACCTTGATTCAAAAAGGGAAAATAAGAATATATACTTCGAGATGAAGTACACCTTAAGAAACAACACCGCTTTATATACAACCAATCTTCATCGCCTCTTTAGTTACTAGCTTAATTCCTCTCACCCACAACTCCGCCATTTCACTTCCGCCTTCACATACAAAATGCACCTCCTTGTTCTTCACAGTCACTATCCTGAATAATCCTGGTTCACTACCATCTCCCTTCTTAAGCCTGTTCTTCATGAATCTTGGGCTCGATCCAACCTCGACATCTCGGCAGACAACATTTCGTCTGCTCGACTTCCCCCACCGTAACATTCCCATGCTTCCTATCATTCTCAACTCTTTCCCATGCGGGCTTCCTTTTCCTCCTCTGGTGTGTTTCTTTACATGAGCACCATGTAACGTCAGCCCACGTGCTAGCTCGTCTAGTATCACTTCTTCTGCTTCACTCTTCTTGCTTTTTCTTGCAAGAGAGAGTGCAGTTTCGCCTCTCGTACTTCGTACATCCGCATGGGCGCCATGAGATAACAGAAGTTTACACACTGATCCATGGCCACCCCTTGCAGCTAACATGAGTGGAGTGTAGCCATCACCGTCTACAACATTTACATCGAAGCTTTTGTTCGTCAAAAACTTCACTGCGTCCAAGTCTCCACGTCTTGCAGCACAATGCAAGGCATAGAAACCGGCTGCATTACGGCTGCCCATGTCGAGGGCGAATTCAAGCATCACCTGCTCAAATTGGTCGTGATTTGGGTGCAACTGATACAAGGTGATTGCTGTTTCACCAGATTTATTGCTCAGCCTTACATCAGCACCAGCATAAACAAGCAGCCGGAAAGCTTCAGCATGACCATTAGAAGCCGCAACCATGGCTGCTGTAAAACCATGATCGTCCTGGTAATCTAGATCATATCCTCCCCAGCCAATCAAAATTTTCAAGGCTTCAGTATCACCACTTTGAGCCGCTAAGATAAGTGGACAGAAGACAGACATATTGCTGGAAATTGGTCCTTTTCCAGACTTTATCAAATCAGCCACCGTTCTTTGAAAACCAAGGGACCATTGATTTGAGCCAGCAATTGAACTCACGGAGTGACCAGCTACATTGACTAAGCCAAAGTCAGCACCAGCTGCACCCAATACTTTTAGACATTCTTCATACTTGTGTTTTGCACATATCATAAGTGCCGTATCCCCTGAATCTGTCTTTGAGTTTAGATCACAGCCAGCATCAATGAGACATTTGATTACTGCTGACATCCCCAATCGAGCAGCCATGTGTAGCGGACGAAATTCTGTATTTCCGGTTGCTTTGACAGGGAATTCAACGTCAGCCCCGCATTTAGAAAGGACATCAACAGCTGTTGCATTGCCACAAAGAATAGCATGATGGATGAGAGTTCTTCCATAGTGAAGAACATTGGGTGACGTATGTTGAAGAAGCATGCGCAAGATAGCACCACTGCCTTCAAAATACTCCACTGCACACCAGGTAACATCATAAGGCTCTGCCAATCCCGCACCTACTCGGAACTCCTCTCCAGTATCCATATCCCAAGACCATGCTCCCAACCTTACGCTAATATCAATCCGAGCTCCAGCCTGTTGCCCATTGAAAACATCAGGGATTTGACATGCAGTGCAGAAGTGTTAAAATTAAGGAAAAGAGGGAGAAAAAATCCTTGCATGTGCCATCTTCATTTTTCCTCGAGGTTGAGAAAATCACCTGAAGAAGAAAACGAACAATCGAGATCTTTCGACTAACAACTGCAGCGACTAGTGCTGTACAGTTGACATTTGTATGGAGAGAAGGCTTAGAGGACTGGAGTAGCACTC